AATATTCATGTTTGAGTGAAATTATGCGGAAAAACTACTTGTTAGAATCGCTACTTTTTTCAGACTTCAAGAAATGAAAAAAAAAATCAATCTTTTTACAGGTAGTTCTTGCTTAACAGCTGGTCACTTAACTTCCATTTGACAGTCATGACTGACTTCAAATATGCTACGTATGACCCACCCTCAATGTTATGCTACTACATCCCCACCTACTCCATGATCACATGATTGTACATTAGCTGCTTGGCAACCAGCTCATATTTATGACCAGTTCCAGTGTCCCATGGCCACATGAGTGCTTAGCAATAGTTTTTGCCATTTTCTGGCAAAATGGCACTTTGCAATTCGTCTCCCTCGATGTTTATCTTGCTCCACTGAATGCAGCTATAAAACCAGTGTAAAATTATCTCTATTAAACAACAGTCAAACCTGAAGCCATCTAAATATTGCAATGAGTTACAGGAGATAGTTATATAGTTTAGTATTCATAGTGGTACCTAACCAATGTATATATTTTACAGAATAACCTCCTGGTGTGACCTAATTAAACATAGATAAATCTAGGACAATACTTGCTTGAGCCAGATTCTTGGAGAGATTTTTCTACTGAAGTCGATATGCCCTAAATTGGAGTATTCTTAATGGAATTTGGAGGACAGAGACACTTCATTTGGCCCCATACTGCCTAGAAATCACCACCATCATATTGTATGTGCACTTTGATTACTGATATAAATTTTTCCATTGTTTGTTTATTAGGCAGTGCCATCTATGATAGCTTTATGCCTTAGTACTAATGGGAGGGAGGTGCCCATTGATTATCAGGAGACTAAAATGGTCAAAATTAATTCTGCCAGAGCAGAATACTCCAGGGGGCTATAAAATCCAATTTGTATTCTTGTACAAAGAATTCAAACTTGTCTTCTTTCTTTCCCACACTTTAAACATTGTATAGTATATACAGAACAAAGACCATGAACTTTTATGAGCCAAGGTTCTTCCTGTTTTTCCACTCAGTAGTTTAATAGGCACCATTACAGCACATTTCAACACAAGTCTTTATGTGAGGTTCTTATTTCAGGCTTTTCATTTCTAGTCTTTACAGGATTCAGTTTAAAGCCCTTCATTTAAAGTTTGCCATTTTTACTTTGAGAAGTGCAACCCAATTCATATTATCAGTCATTACCCTGAAAAATCAGATTATGATCTCAAAAATCAGATCTTTTATGTTAGGTTTCATTTATTTGTTCGTATCCCGCCTTTATAGCTGCACAGAAGTTCAATGAGTACTTGGTTATGCAGAAAAAGAAAAAGTACAAAGAGAGAGAGAAAAGTGGTGACTTCCAATTTTTTTCAGTGCAGTAAAATACAAAAAAAAAATTACAATCTCAGCCTTTTGCTTTACATTTCATAACATTTCAAGCCATTTCTATAATAACCAATTATTCTAATCATCAAACCTAAAATCAACGCTTCGTTATTTTTTCAGTTTTGAGCAAAAAGCAGAAAAGTGGTTTCCAAAAAGAAACAAAACTAGATAAATTCTTCTCTTTAATTAAAAGTCAGTTCCCCTATTTGTGCTAACCTCGTCACCTTTTTTCCCCAGCTTTTGAAAGAATTTCTCTCCCTGAAAACAGCTTGAATGAGATAGTCAGACTGTGCTCTCATGCTTTAAAATCATAAGTAAAATATGCAAAGGAAGGAGGGAGAAGTGGAGAAAGCAGGGAGGGAATTGCTTCAGGACTGAATATAAAGGACCAGGTTGGTCTACATTTTGCAAGGCAAATTAACCACTCTCCCAATGGCTTTTGCTCCTTTGTCTCCATTTTAAGGACAATATCACAAATCAAGAGTTTTGATTTTTCTTTTTCTAATTATTACATTATTAGAAAGACAGAGCAAATGAACAACTGAAACTATCTCTTGCCTCTGCTGTCTCTTTTAATATTTTTGCAATATAAAAACAAAACGAAAATCAAATAATTACGGTAGTGGAGGTAATAATCATACAAAATTGAAAAAAGCTAATTAACAGCAAATGAGAAACAAACAACCCTTCCTCAGCTGGGATGTTACTGCATACCTACGTGATTTTGAACAATTTTAAAAAAATCTATTAAATATTTCCATTAAAATATATCCTGATGGTTATCTATTGGGAATATTTTTATTATTACAGCTAATAATTGAGGACTACATTTGACTGATCTTGTCTTTCATTTCAGAGCTCTTTGTTGTTTTTAATTCTTAAACCAAAGCATTATCCCATATTTTTTATTACTAATCCAACAAAATTTACTTGAATTTCCAGTGCTTTGCAATAACCTAGCAGCTAACTTAAAACCGAGTCAATTTCTTAAGCTGCATCATTGCATACGCATAAGGAGATTTACACTATAAATATATAAATCAATCATTTACCAAATTTCTTGACCAGAAACGCTATTTTTCAAACCTTGAAAAATATTTGCCTGCCATGCGTTAAAGACAAAAGTGTCAATTTTAGGTTGATATTATACCGTACTTTTTCTTGATAAACTGAAGAGCTGTTTAGATAATCCAAATGGCAAGAAGACTGGTACTTTTCTTTGCAAGTATATGTTTTAGCAGCAGCCCAGGCTAGAGTGTGAAAATGTTCTTTGAAGACTAAACATCAAAATAACTCTTATTACATCTAGTTAATGATTCAAGCTAAAACCAAAGTAGTCTAGAAACTCATACATATCAAAAGTTATCGTCGTGGTTTGATGGTATAAAACAGGCTTTAATTATTTCAGTACACGAAAGAGACAATGAGATGATTTTCCAGCATTTGCAGCTGGCTATATCCTTTTATCTCTGTAGTATGACAAATCTATCTTGCATGGGAAAATAGGAGTAATAGGTAAATGAGATTCCTTTGTTCTGAACTATGATGAAAAAAGAATTCACAAGAAAACTTTTATATAATATAATTTAAGAGGGGTTAAATGTAATAGAAGTTTATTATATTTAGGTGTCCATAAAGCAAACAGTCCAAGAACAGACACATGACAATTCATTAACATACTTCCTGGTGGTTTTTTTTAATATAAATAGATATTTTATTGGTTTTTAACTATAATGATCTCCAGTGCGTGGTGTACAGCATGTTGTCTTGGTTTATATTTTAACAAGAAAAAAGGACAGTAATAATTAATTAACAATCAATGATTAAATTTGATAATTCCATAATATATTAAATAATGATAAATTTCTTTGATCTTCCCTTCTCCCATTTGTATTTTCCTTCTTCAACCTTAGCCAAAATATAATTCTTAATATTTTCAATATATAAATGATTAGGTATAGGTATTTTTTATATTTATACAAATAGTAATCTCTCTATATAACATTTTTTCAGCTTATATTATTCTCATAACCATCATCTCATCAGCATACATCCTATTTTTATAATTTTTATTCGCTTAAATTCCCTTATATTCAATCCAATTCTTATCAGTCATAATTTCTTCATATTAGTCATCTGTCTAAATTTTACCATTTAGGTACATCATCCCAATATTTTATGTCATGCATTATAAAAATACTATAGTTTTTATCTGTCTTATAGTATCTATATATAACATCCTTTTTAATCAGTTTATATTATATTTACATATTAATAAAAGTTACATCAACCTGCTATTTTAACATTTAATATATTATAAAACATATTATATTACTTAAATCTCATTATCCTTCTTGTTATAAGATCCCTTTATGTTCGAAATTCTCTGTTCTTTTAGCCATATTCAAACAAATGTTTATTCACATAATAGTCCATCTGGTAGGGAGTCAAATTGTGGTGTCATGCCAGCGCTATCGTTGCTGCAAGTGCAACATCCCCACTCATACTATCATCCAGGCATTGCACAGGCGCTAGTGTCACCCAAGCATCACATGTGCTCAATCATAGCCACATTCATGCGTGCGTGGTGCCATGCATGCATGCAACTGCTTGCACGCATAAAGGCACCTCCACCTCCCCGCCCTTGGCCGCCAACGCATGAAGGTTGGGGACCCTTGCCCTAGAGATTCTTGTTGTCTGCTTAAAATGTGCATCAAGACCAAAGTAGGGAAGTGCAAGTAGATGGGGATTTTTTTTAATGTTTTTGTATTTATTCCAAAGCTTAAATCATCCCCAAGTCTTTAAACATAGAAAGGCTATATTCAAATATGATGGCACAGGAGACCACAGGCCAAAGTAAGTGGGAGGTTTGGGCAGCAAAACCTGACAAACACAAGGGTTGATACACACAGGCTAAATGAAAGTGATTTTTTTCTTTCTGATTGTTCAAATGTAATCTCCAAGTTAGTCCCTTAAGCCAGGGGTCTCCAACCCCCAGTCCACAGACCGCCACCAGTCCATGGCATGTCAGAAACTGGGCCACACAAACAAGCAAAGCCCTATCCGCAGCGTACTAGGCAACACACAAAACTATAGAACTGGTCCCTTGTGCCTAAAAGGTTGGGAGCCACTGCCTTAAACTGTTTCTTTTGCAGAGAAATGAAGACCATGAAGACCCAATCATTGTCAATTCATCAGGTTGAAATAAGAGATAGGAAGCAGAATTACTATACCAGCTCCAGACAACTTCTGATTCCAATATTGTTATTCCCAAACTATTAGAATTGTTACTAGAACTTTCTTCCTTCTTTTTTACTCTAGATATCCTCTTTCTTTTGGGTATAAAGCCAGTACAGATAGTCCATGACTTAGAACAGTTTATTTAGTGACCAATGTAACAATGGCATTAAAAAAGTGACTTATGACCATTTTTTACACATATGATCATTGCAGCATTCCCCCTGGTCATGTGATTTACATTGTGATGCTTGACAATTGACTCATATTTAAGATGGTTGCAGTGTCCCGAGATGATGTGATCACTTTTTGTGACCTTCTAAGGACAAGCAAAGTCAGTGGGAAAGCCAGATTCATTTAACAACTGTGTTATTAATTTAACAACTGCAGTAATTCACTTAACAAATGTGGCAAGAAAAGTTATAAAATGGGGCAAAATTCATTTAACAAATTTCTTACTTAGCAACATAAATTTTGAGCTCAACTGGGGTCGTAAGACAAAGACTACCTATAGACAAGAGCTATTTTGATTTTGTTGATTTTATGTAAACTCTTTTGGAAGCCTGAAGAAAAAGGTGAAAATATTTTAATAAGTATTCTAACAACTCCACAGCTTGTGATTCTAGCAAGTGCAAAAGTAGAATGGTAGTTTAAAAACTAAATACTGGAATCTTCCAAAGACTACATTTTAAAGCAAACATCTCTAATTCCTTTTATTTTAGGAATGTGGAACCCTTAACCCCCAAAGTGTACATAGCCCAATAGTTACTTTTTTGCATTTTCAGTCTCATCCCATCCTAACTATGATTGTTGAAAGGGAAACACTGAAGAACTGAGTTTTTGGTTTCTTTGGAAAATAAACTCAGGGAAATTGAACAGTGACTTCAAACAGAGACAACAGAAGACGATCAACTTTTCAGGATGATAAAGATTACTGCAGCTCAAAGATGAGTGGAAAGAACTTCAACTCATTTATGGAGAAAGACCTCAGAATGACATTTTGGGATGATTTTCACTTCAGCCAATAAATATGAAGTAAAGTGTGACGTGAAATTCAGCTCCTCTAAAAGACAAGAGTTTTGGGAAATGTTGCTTCTTGGATAAGAAGTGAAACGTCTTCAAGGAAAAATAAAGTCCAGTTGCCTTTTGAAAAAGCACCTTGAGAATAGTTTAAAAGTTAAAACAAATGTGTGAAGGATAGGTTTGTTTGGTCTCAAACAAATCCTATCATTCATTCAAATCACAGCCAGGGTCCTTTGAATTAATATTATTTGCCATAGCTTGAAATAGCAAAATAATCTGTACTATTAGTTTTCCCTGATTTCTTTGTAATGAGCAAACACTAAATTGTGAATTATCTTATATGAGTCACACTGTCACAAAACAAAAGTTGGAAAACAAAGAATGACATCTGGATTATTTTCCAACCCTTTGACCAGCAATAGCCATGGGAGGCATCTGTATTTTCTTCTGGGTCACTTCTTTCATTGGTTTCTGCTTTCCTGATCTCTCATGTTGGGTCTGTTTATGAGTTTGGGAAAGCACAGAACAGACTGCTGACATTCCACATAATCACCTAGCCAGGAGAAAAGGGGCTTAACATGGCACATTTAGCAACTTTCTATGCTATGCCCAACTGCCTCACCAAGGGCAGTTTTGATGGCATTTGTTTTTTTCCACAGCTGCAACTCAGAACCAGTCCATTTTGGAAGCTTTCCTTTGCAGGATTCTCTCACAAGCACACCTGCGTGTTTGTGTGCATTCTCCCTGGTGTCTAATTACTGTAGTCTGTGTGCATACTGAACGCCTCTCTGCGTGTATTCGGGCTCTCCCCATATGCTACAATCTGCATGTGTTCGTTTGTTTCCAAGTGTGCACGCCCCCTCACCCGGAGAAGGGAGGAGGAAAAAAAATCCTAGACACACGCAGCCGGGCGGGCGGATCTTCCAAACGTCATTCGAAACCACCCGCCTCTTGCAGAGGCGCATGCGTTGTACTCACTGAACCGGGACCCGTACATGCCGGAATTTAGCAGACCGCGGAACTGAGCGCCTTTCGAGGAGCAACTGGTCGACCTCCGGCGCGAAGAAACAAAGCAACGACTCCGTCGCGTCGTGAAAAGCAAAAGCAGGCATGGTCAGAAGTCTGGCCGCTGCCGCCATCGTGGTGAACGGGCAAAAAGGCTTGTTCCTCGTTCAGGGAGAACCCGCCGTCCTTCTTCGCGTAGGCGCTTCGCGTTTCGGCGTCACGCGCTCCCCTTTTCCTGGCCGTTGCCTAGGAGATCAGAAGCTGGTGAGCGACCTCGCGAGGAGGGCTTTTGGAGCGCGCGCGCGGGCGACGGGAGTCAGCCCGGGCGGACAGCTGCGCTCTGAGGCGCGCGCCTCTTCCTTGTCGCCTGCCGAAGGCGTCCCTTCGCCTGCGGTGGGGATCCGCTTCCTCAGCCTGAACGGGAGTCGCTGCCGAGCGGTGGAAGGACGAGGTGAGACGGGCAAGATGGAGGGAGTGGAATCTGTATGTCGTTTCTCTGATACTTGGGGAATGGAAAAAGCAGCTGTTTTCCAAGTCAAAGTTACACCACTATTCTACTCCGGAGTAGTTAACTCGATACGCTTTCCATGTTTTCGATTTCACTTCCCCCACTCGCTCCCATTAGTGATCAGAGTTCATGGAGGTTATACTATAACGTGAAGAAACCATTTGGAAGGTGTCAGTTTTGTTTGGTTCTAAGTGGCACAGAATAGATCACATCGTTTAGGTGAGAAATGATAAAGGTCTGAGTTACAGTAACAAAGGATTTTATTTAATATATCAACCGTATGCTGTATATTTTTAAATATTAATATTTATGTATTGTATAATTTTAGAGACTGACTACTTCTGGGTAAATAACCAATCAGGATTTGATGATTGTATGCTGTATTAACTAAGTAAATAAGCATTTAAGATAGTATCCAACGCTGCAGAACTGGTAGCAGATTATAAGAAGCAAGAGTAATGTTAAGCAGTAAGTAATGTCACAATCAAAAGTACAAAGAAGAAAGATAATGATAGTCTGAGCCACACAAATCTAGAAGCCCTACATTTTTTGTTTGATTTATGAGAACCTATTATAGAACAAAAAAATAAACTCTAGCAAGTACAAACAAAAATACCACAAATTGTTGGGAGGCTCTTCAGCCATCCATCATTATTACTACAGGATTTTAAAAAAAAAAAATAGAGCTAAAAATGAAAAGCAGTAAATATAACTTTAAAAAAGCAGAGGTTTAATTCCTCTCCCACAAACTCCATAATATGTGCCTCCCCCCCATATACATACATGATCACAAAGTTTAAATTATAAAGAAAACAACCTTCCCTTGGCTAGCAGGATTTTCCTTTAAATATCTTTAGAAGGTAGAAAGGACTTAGATGAAAAGGTATCTTGTTGGCTCTGGGTGTTTGCACAGAACATCTACCTATATCATACTAGGTGAGCCAAGCTGACCAGATTTAGAAGTTATCTAAATTACACTATTAGTCTATTTTTCAGACTAATTATTGAAGGATTTGATGAAATGGATTGCATCCCACAACAATTTACACTATAATTTGATTAAAAGATTTGTATTCTGTTTCCTATTAAAAGAAACAAAGTAGTGACTTAAAATAATTAAAATTGCAACTAAAGTGGCTTAAAATAATTAATGAAACCGTGTATTAATTAAAAAATACAATTTAAAAATTCAAAAATTCAAATGAACAATAAAGCAATGGCAAAAGAAATGTAATCATCTGTTACTGTTTCAAGTTCTATAAGAATTGGCAGTTTATCTTAGAAATGGTAATTTGTCCATGAGAATTTAGATGAAATCCTTGGACCATAGAAGGAAGGAGGGGAAGACAGAAGGCAGGCACACCAGACCAAGTCTAGCCAGAGTCACAATACAATATCATCTTGGTGGGTAGTAAAGGAGACCAGAGACCAACACTGTATAATTACTATACTGACTTGCACTTTGAAGGAAAACAACTGTGTGAGCTCTGTTGAAAAGTCACCTTTCCCCCATCCTTAAGAAGCAGCCCATGGAAAACAGCATCTAACCAAAGCTAAGTCCTTTCAGATTTAGGAATGTACATTTAGGAATGTACTTTATTTTAATCCATGTGAAATTGGTTAAATGTTTTAAAAAGTGTAATGGGCTGAAGTTGATGTTAAAACACTTTTAATTAAACGATTGTTGTACAAAATCATAAACATCTTTATATTTATTCTTCATCATTGCATGTTTGCAGTTAACTATTTAAGGAAGAAGGAATGAGAATTATAAAAATTCCACTCCATTTTTGGTAAAAAAATAGACATAAATGTTTTAACTGGTGGAAGCTGTAGTCACAGAGAACATATCCCAGCTATTTAAAGCTGAAATACACTATTTGTTTTACTGTAAAAGAGAAAACAATAACTTGTTTTATATTAAAGCTTTTTTTTTTTTTTTTTTGCATCAGCTCTGCAGTTTGAAAATAGCAAAAGCAGATGTTCACCATTGGGAAGCAGAACACTTTATTTTGATACCCACGCCTTTGTGTGCCTCTTGGAAGAAAATGGTAATAAATATATTACTCTACAATGTGAATAACAATAACAGTTTTGTTATTCTGTATCTCTTCAGAAATAACCCCTTACATAAATATTATTTTGTATGCATTTTTTGGAGTAAGTTAGCTGCCACTTGAATTTAGTTGTAGTGTATTTATGTCACTGTAATAGTAAGCATGAGGTCTTGGGAGAGGTAGTTTTAATGATATTACACAGCTGCATATTGGTTACATATTAGAACTAGATTTCATTTTCTGTCCATTTCTGTATTTTGAAAGCAATGCTATTAAACATTCATATACATAAGTCATACAAGTATTTCATTGCTAATCTGTTTTATTTAAGATACTATCTTCTCACTAGTTGCCTCTTGTAATAATGTAAGACTTATATATAGGGCCTTTTTTCAAACATTATACATACATATCAATTAGTTTTAGATGTTCCATATCCAAAGTGCAATGTGCCACTGGGAACATTTGAAAACATCAAGAGCAGGTGCAAAGGCCATAATTTGGCAGTGGCTAAGTGAAGGCAGGGCATGGCTGGTGGAAATGGTCTCGCTGGGCATCATTAAGGCCATTGTAATATGGAGCAGACACACCAGCCATGCAGAAAAGGAGGGAGGAGAGGGTACAACACCAATTAGTTTTGCCCTACATCCTTCTTAAAATCATTCCAACTAGGTTTATTTCTATAAATGGTAAGTTCAACAACAAAGCTTCCAACAAAACTTCCAAATTGCAATAGTTTGCTTTGTATTTGAAGCAAAAGACATTTTTCATTTAACATACAAACCAGATTATGTATAAAATGTGTAAGGGTGCACTGCAAGGGATGCAGATTTGTGAAGCACATTAAATCTTCATAGTCTCTAAAAATTTAAAAAATTCTGCCTCATTATTTAGTGTTACATAATCTTTAATGATATTTATATATAGGAAGAGATGGATTTTTTCTCCCTCCCCAAATTATTATTGAAACACTTGTTTTTATGATTATGCTTGTTGAATCAATGTGTATGTAGCAAATAATAATGTTTTATATTGTTTTAGGATTCACCACTCAGCAATCTGAGATCATTGTGTCTGCTTTAATGAACATTATGAAGAGCAATATGGATATGATACACAAAGACATGGTCACCAAAATGCAACAGGTTGAGAATGTATTTAATATATAATATTTACCAGGGTGGACTCAGATTAAATCCATCTAAAGCTATAGAAATTTAGTTATAACTGATTTTGATAGTGCTACTAACATAAAATGTGTTGCAAAGTAAATATATAAAATATGTCTGTGCTATACAATAGGATACTCTGATCTCTGTCTATTCATAAACCATGCAAAAGCATTCATTATTTGCTGATATGGCATTGTTTTGCATGGATTCTTATATTTACCTTCAAAGTTAGTGCTTCTTCATGAGTCCAAGGTGAGTGTGGGGACATGCATATGGCATCTGTCTTACAACTCTTCAAATCAAATAAACATTTTTTGGGATCACACTACAACTGCAGAAGGCACCAGCCATTCCCAAGAAAAGACAAAACTATTTTAAATAGTAACAGACAGGTCATGTGAGCACCTCAGCAGGTGCCAAAACATATTTTTGCCTTTGAATCTCAAACAATTATAATAGGCAAATAGTTGTGCAAACAATGTACACTGCAGGAACTTAATGGTCTATTCATAACTTAAATAGTTCTGCATCATAAGATCTCTAAACTACCTTACTATATATGATCTCATCTAGCATTCCCTTTTTGTACCATGGAAACTGGGCAGGATAAGTAAAGATTTTTTTTTTTAAATTTAAGTCTAGTGGGACTTCTCTGCATGCAAGTACCATGCCTATATTTGCTTAATCATATATTAAATTATATATCATATAATCTACATAATATTGCATAGACATTATAGCTAGAATGAACATTGAGGATGATATCTCAGCACTGGTTGTACTGATGGCCTTAAGAAACTCTTTTTCTCTTGCTCCAAAGGAAATTGCTGTTCAGCAGATAATGTCTCATATTGGTGTTGTAAAAAAGGATATGATTATTTTGGAAAAAAGTGAATTTTCAGCACTCCGAGCAGAAAATGAGGTATTTTTTTAAAAAAAATGTATTGGCTATTTTTTTTTTTAATGTGGATGAAATTTTAGTGGTGGCCCCAAAATATGTTGAATCAGTTTAATATTAGCTACCACCTAGAAGTTAAGGAAGGGCTTTTGTTTTCAGTTTTAAGGTAGAAACCTTGTACTAAATAAAATCACTGATACCAGACAATTAAAAGGGATTTTGTATTTAATCACACTGAGAGCAGTAGATAAAGAAATGTGCTATGCTCATGCCTATTTCATTTCATTGTAATTTTGGAGTGGCATCTAACAAAAATATAAGAAATACAGTTTCTCTAAGGCTGGAAATCTTGATTTTTAACTTCCCCTTTTCACCTTTATGTTTGTATTTGTGAAAGCTTTAATAAGATCAATATGCTTGCTACATTCAGTTCAGCACTGTACAGAAATATCCAGTAGAAGCTTATTGAATATATCCATATACAGGCATATATAGTACCTAATATAGTTAAATGAGTTCCCCTCTTCTACCTCCTTATTATCAAACTGAGTTGATTGTTGCCTAAAATATGTATTTGCTACATGCTTCACTACTTTTTTTGTCTGGTGTTTTAAGTAAGCGTATTCTCTTTTTTATGCAAAGAAAATAAAACTTGAACTTCAGCAACTAAAAAAGCAAGTAATGGTAAGTTACATTGTTTTCAAAATGCAACTTCAGAATATAAAATAAATATCTACTTTCTGTAAGAAGTTACTTTATAATTTCACCCTGGGTCCACTTATATAGGAGCAAATGCCATTGGGCTCTACTGCCCTTACTTCTGAATGAATATATATATAGGATTATATTCTAAAATTGTAAGCACTTGCTGAGAACCAACACATGAGCTGCATTGTCAAAATCCTGCTTATCTGCTTAACCCATCAACAAGGAATATGTATAAGTTTCTATAAACACAGATAGTTTAAACACTGTTAAATACAAAAATTCTGCATTAGTCTAGAAAAGATTTATTGCTTTTGGTCTCACAAATCAGAATAATGAAATTATATGCTGACTTAAAGTATATAAACTTTATGATATATGACTTAAATACATATGATATACATATCCCATGAACTTAAACTTAAACTAACAATCTGTACATGGAACCTTACAAATACTGATGTAAGGCTTTGTTCTATCTTGTATCTTTTGGGCTGTGCCCTGGCAGCACCAAAAAATTACTGGGAAAATTTACCAAGCCCCAAATTTAAGAAGAGGGCTGGGACTTTGTTATCAAAATAAGTTGTCTACATAAAGTGGAACCGCTTAATTTGCTTTTCATCTGTAATAAACTAATCCATAGGAAACAGTGCCAAAAGAATCTCAGTGATAAGAATATTCTAGTAAAATGACCTTAATTAAAATACCTTCAACAAAAAAATATAGACATTTTTATAGGTAGTTGATAGAGGATTGCTTGCATACTCTCAAATAGTCCTCAACTTATAACAGTTTTAGTGACCATTTGAAGTTACAACAACCACTGAAAGAAGTGACTTCAGACCATTTTTCACACTTATGACAAGTTACTGCATCACTATGGTTGCGTGATCAAAATTCATAAGTTTGGCAGCTGATTCATGACTGTTGCAGTGTCCCGGGGTCATGTGATCACCTTTTGTGCCCCTCGGACAAGCAAAGTCAACGGAAAGCCAGATTCACTCAATAACAAAAGTGATCACTTGACAATTGCAGTGATTCACTTAACAACTATGGCAAGAAAGGTAAAATGGAGCCAAAGTCACTTAACTGTCTAACAACAATTTCTGTGCTTAGTAACAAAAATTTTGGGCACAATTGTGGTTGTAAATTGAGGACATTATTATGTACTGCTTTTGGAAATGCCTAATAAAGTCTTTCCTTACATTCTAAATTAGAAGCGTTTCTCACACTGGGTTATGTGCTGAAACATTGCTGTTGAAAAAGTAAATCATTGACAGATGTTTCTGTGATAGCGTTCAATAGATGTTGTATCATAGCAACAGAAAGATTGTATTGCAGACCTTCAGAATTCAGCTAATTTAAGGCACCTTTTATAAATTATGTTGAGGTTTGTTGTAATATAAAGAGCAGGATTCATTTGAGTAAACATTTTTTGAGTAACATTTTCATGCTTTTATTTTGTTTTCTCCTCTTTAGCAGGAGGAGAGTTTGGTAGAGTAATAAAAGAAATACATATTTCTGGAATAATTTAGGGCTGTTGAATGTGGAAAACTTCATTAAATATAGTATTACTTTTCTTGATTAAAGAATCTGAACACAGGCATTCAGTTTAGTTCTATGCAATTTTTTTCTAGGATGAAACTTCCAAAGTACGAACAGATAGCAAGCTAGATTTCAATCTAGAAAAAAGCAGAGTAAAAGAATTGGTATGTATGCTTCCCTTTCATATAAAGATTGTTCAGAAATCCTGTCATACTGTAACATGTACTTCTGTGTTAACTGTGAAGCAGCTTCTCTTAATTATGTTACTATTTGATCAAATAGTATTGTGAGGATGACACCTGTCTAATGTTTTAATCCATTAGATTAAATGGATTAAAATGAATTAAATAAATGGATTAAAAGTTTAGTTTTAGATAACCTTTTTTTTTTTTACAGAACTTGAAATAAATTATTTTAGACTCACTGGCTCCACAGTTTAGATTCTCCTAAGTGCTTAATGAGTTCAAGACCCATAGCTAAAAATAAACTTTGGAAGATATTTATGGTTTCCCTAGGCTAATGTAATTTAGAACTTTTTGATTTGGAACTTTACCTCATGGTATTTAGATAGCATTTCATTCATATAATTGCTAGTAAAGAAGGTAAAATAGAATGTGGGAGAGCCAGAAACTATAGCTGCAGTGATATTTTAAGACGATTAATGACAAATGGAAGATGGCCTTTTTTTTAAGAAGCAGATAATTAACTACTCTTCTTTTTCAGTATTCACTTAACGATAGAAAAGTGTTGAAAATGAGAACAGAAATAGTGGAATTGGTAAGAATTACAAATATAATTATTAATCACAGTAAAAGTCCTTTCCTTACACATCGTTATTTAAATAATCAAATGAATATAGACACCCTTCTTGCTGAAGGAAACTCTGGGCAGCAAACCTGTAATCAGATAACAATAAATAAAAACAAACCATATACACTATAAATGTATTTTTAATAATACATATCATAAAGCAAAAGATACAAACCACAGGAGGGGGAAAAATAAAAATGGCTGCCTCAACAATGGAGCCGTCTGAGCAGTTGCCTGGGAGCCTCATGCCTGACAACATAAGTAAGACTTGAGGGCTTTTCATAATATCAAAAAGGATGGAGCTTTCATTGGGGGAAAGAATGTTCCATAACGTAGGTACTGTTGTGGAAAAGACACCTATCCTGTGACTTGAAGGTCCCTAGCCAATGGGACCCACAACGTGCCTGCTCCACCCGATCTAGATGGATGGCTAATATAACTGGGAGAGGCAGTCCCTCAGATAATCCATGCCATGAAGGGCATTAACATTAAAACCAGATCTTGAATTGGACTTGCAAGCAAATTGGCAGCCAATATAGCTCACGGAACAGAAGTGTAATATGCGCTGCTCTAAAAATGCACATAACTGCCTGCGCTGCTGCATTTGTACGAGCTGTAATTTCCAGAAAGTCTTTAAGGGAAGCCCCATGTAGAACACATTGCATTAGTCCAATCTGGAAGTTTCCAGGTCCAATCTAGAAGTGTCCAGAGAATGGTTGACTATGAGTAGGGCTTAATGACCCAGGAAGGAGCACAACTGACACAGAAGACGAAGCTGTGGTATAATGAAGTTGTTATCTAAACTGCTCGACTATTACCATTATAGCTGGTTCTTATTCTTTCATGAATTACTAGAACAATTATAGTGCAATATAAAAATGAAAGGCTTTTAGTTTTAAAACTTTAGGAAATTAAAAATCATGAATTATGCAAAAATGATGTATGATAGTATATGGCAAAGATCAGCTTTAAACTGGTATCTGTTTCAGAATATGAATATCATCTAGAAGTAAGAAAAATCCTTAGATATTTCCCTAATTTAACCTTTTGTTCTTAGTAAATCCTGTTATATTTTCAAAGCTTAATTTCTCCAACTGATATGTATCTCTAAAACAATACGAAGACTTGATAGGTTATTGAGAATTGGTTCAGGTTGGTGAAGCTTTAAATCTGTTTGAAATGAAATGTCATTCACAAATTTAAAAAAAAAACCCTAATATTATATACATTAAGATATTTGATTCAACTTTTGTATTAAATCTGTGAAATTATTTAAATAGTATTGCCCTACATACACATATTCGAATAAGTTTTATTAAAAATGAATTTTTAATTGCCAGGCAGGGAAAAAAGAATACAGTATTTCAATCTGATTATAATACTGTAAATAAGCAATTAGCTCTGTGTAATAATAAACACATATGTCATATTATTTAAGAACAAAAATAGATTTTTCCTTCCCTTTAAAACTGTATATAAAATAAGAGAACATGTTATATAAAAAAAATTACAGTATTATTTTTGGGATATGTTTGCCTAATATTTTAATAAAATTTTATTAATGTTGACAGATTTGTTTAAAAATGTTTTCTCTATTTTAAGCATGCCCAGCAAGATCGAGCTTTAACGCAGACTTATAGGAAAATAGATACTGAAGTTGCAGGTCTGAAAACAATGCTTGAATCACACAAACTTGACAACATCAAATATTTAGCTGGTAAGTTATCCTTTGTCTACATATATGCTTGGCCAATTTCCTTATTTGCCTGCTTAGTTTATGCTTATGTTTAATATTTATGTCAAAAATGATACCAGAAACTGTTTAGTTTAGCATATTAGTTTAGAACATACAGCCCCTCATTTTTATCTGTATTAGTATATTTTGGTGGCATAATCTCTTGTCTACAATTGGTTATGTGTTTGATGCCGCAAATAACTCTTCCCTACTAGTTACATAGTACAACTTTCATTTTTGATGCTTAATTGCTAAAACAGATAGTATCTATAAAACACATATTAGCATAAAGTTAATTTAATATACGCAACAGTGTATAAAATTTGAATAACAAATATTGCAATAAATAACTTGAAAGAATAATTTAAACAATATTTTTACTCTAGTCCTGCTTACTTTGTATTTCTTCCCTTTATTTGATGATTAGTCTTTTCAATTTTCTTCATTCTCTGAAAGGCAAAACATAATAGGCTATGATCCACAGCCTAGCAAAACATTAGTTTCCATGTTGCCTAATAATACACAGTTGCATGCAAGATTCTAGTAGAGATGTGTTTGAATATTAGTAGCTCAGGTTGGTAGTTGGGCTGTTGCTTTGATCTCCAAGCTTGGCGATTTGGCTGCAAACATTTCGTCTCCATTCGGGGGGGACATTGTTGTGCTGAGCTGACAATTCTGGTAACTTATTAGAACATTTTAATGTTGATAGAATTGTATTTTTGAAAAGACTGAAACCTAATCGTATGTAAACTTATTTTTATACCTAGAAATCCTTATGTGTATTTTTTTTTCTCCCTTTCTTCATCTAGGTTCAGTATTTACGTGCCTTACAGTAGCACTCGGATTTTACCGTTTATGGATATAATGAAACATTATTTTCAGCAAACAGTATTAGCTTGCCGTAAGAAATAACATGTTATTTCCATCTGAAATAATTTATTTGTTGCACTGAAGATTGTAATCAAAGAATTACATATGAGCTCCTAAAAACTATATGGGTATCAAAATATTGAAAGAAACCTTGCCTGTGTTATGGGCATCCATATTTTGCACAGAATATCTCCACTCAGAACTGAATGTTTATATGTCTCCAGGATATTATGATCCTAAAAAGGTAGCTTTTAGAATGTACTTCATGTATCAAATGCAAGTTTTAAGTTAGAAGATTAGTGGTATAACAACAAGCATTAATACTAAGTGAGAGGAGATAAAATAATCCAATTGCCTTTATTTATCATGTTCCTTCAGAACTAGAAATTCTTGAATTATGTCATGGTTTACTTCCTTTGTATTGATAAACAGGATTCTAAAGATTTCTTGTTGATGTATTTAATGGATGTTTCCATTGTCATCTATTGTTAATAAATCTCTGTCCAACTAAAAATGTTTTATAAGCAACTGTTGTGAAAAGATTGTGCTGATAACAAAATGTCAAAAGAATAGTAGACAAAATCTTAGTTTCCTTAATATGAAAATAATGGAAGCAAAAACTTTGCAAAAGTTTTACTTCCAATATTTTTATATTAGGGAAACAACTAGAGAAACAAAGCATTTTTTTCTTAATAAAATAATAAAAGGCTACCAACACAGTCATAAACCTAATTAAAAAAAAAGGTTAATTGGATTTACTCTCGGCCAATGATTACAAGGTTGTAGCCTAAATCTGAGATTTTTCAATATTTCTAGAATAACAGTAAGTATAAATCAGTGACCAAATTTATCTGCAGTTGAGCACTTATAAGTTTAAAGAGAAAACTTTCCTAAGTAGAAAATAGTATTGGCAGTTGCAGCTAGAAGATACCAAATATCACAAATACATACCTGTAAGTTAATTCTCATGAAATCAAAAGAATAGTCATTTGCAGACTGGAAAATTATGTGTACAAGCTGCCCCCAAATTTAAACCAAACATATATACCCATAGGCGCATTTCTTTAAGGAAATGTGGAGAAGAATGTTTGTTTTACATAAGCAATTGGTTAATTGTTAAATTTGGCAACCTAAAGGAAGTTGTTATCACTTTTATGAAGAAACAACAAATTGATAGTAACCTTATTATTACCAAAGAAGAGAAAAAATGCATAATTTTTTTCAGCTTAGATGCCAAAATAATCCTGCAGCAAAAATACTTTTAGTTGTTCATACTTAATTATTTCCCCTTCTTTTGTGATTTTTGTCAGACAAGCAAAATAGCCATTGATTATGATCCATTTAATTAACTTAAGAAAGATGAGACTTGAATAATATTTTCCTAAAATAAAGGTGATGAGTGGTTGCACTATTTTAATCAATTTTATAAATATAAAATACTCAGAAGAAATATATTGATGAATAAGATTTACTGAATAATACAGATTATGAAATATCATTTCAAGATAGGTTACCACATACATTTGACCTTTTTTTTATTACGCTACGTGTATAATTACTTCTCTGTAATAGCAGTTCCAAAATCTCTTTACATGTAAACTGTCACAATTAGTGGCAAATAATGTTTTATAAAGAAATTCATTTACAAATAGATACCTTAGATTACACTAAATAAAATAATAAAATAATCTGAAATAGTTATTGCCAATCCTGAGGTTGGTGTATTTGGTGAGCCCGTTTTATGTTTGTGTGGGTATGTGTGTATGTGTTTAATATTGCTTTTTAGACCAGGCAGTTATATTTTGTGATTAAGTTTTAACTGTAAAACATCATAATTTTATTTTTTAAATGCCATCGATACTTCTAAATTTTGTTTTTTGCTAAATTGTACCTTATTAGTGGTTTTTCTTACTAAATAAATGTGTCAATGTCTTTCTAAATAAATATAGATAGATAGATGGATGGAGATTTGAAATATTTATATACCATTTCTAGGTTTGTCTTCTTGAAATTTCCTATTTGAATAATTTTAATGGAAATTAAATGTAATCTTAATCAGTAAAGACCCAACGAAAAAATGGGAATTAAAGTTATCTGGTTTTCTATCATGGCACAAAATTTATTAAGTATTTGTCAGAATACTTTTATGTGGAGTAAGTGCTTTAAATAACAAATTATTCAGGATAACTTTATTCTCCCTCAAATTATGTACTACCATGAGAAAATTATATTGCTGGTGTTATCTCCTCTTTTAGGAACGGACTTTCCAGGTTTGAACATGTGTTTAAAATTTCTCTCACGAGGCAAAATACCAGAGCTAGTACCAATATCATTATTATACATTTCTTTCATATTACACAAGAGATGAGATTCTATGTGTAAACCATCCCACTGCATTAAACAGCAAAAGAAACTCCTAAGGCATTTTTTTCTCCAATAGAAAAAAGGCCATATGGGTACAGAAGTAGCATAGCAGTTTGGACATTTTCAGCGCAAACAGTATAGGGAAACTTTTCCTTTTCTCCCCTGACCCTCCCATTTCCAATGTCCATCAATTAGTTGCACTTGCTTTATTTTGGAAACAGCCTGTCTGCCTTGGACGTTCCCAATTGATAGACTTTGGCGGCACACTTGCATTCCAGAGTTCCCTCCCAAACCTCCCTTTACATTCCAATGCCTTTCCCCCCAACCCCCATTGCTGTTGACTGGTTGAAAGCAGGGCTGTGTAGGTAGTCAACCATGACACTATGTATATTTTGCCAGGAATTGATAAAATTTCTATTGAAGTGGAGTTCTAGCCAAACTAAAGTATCAATCTATCTTAGTTTCACCAAAGAAGTCTCAGATAAAATAAGATTATTTATAAGAGTCTGAACTCACTGGATCAATACAACTACAATATTTTATGTGCTTTCCAGCAATTACCTCCAACAATCATCAAGATCAGATTCACAAATTTGATAACCCCATGAATGCAGAGACCTTTATTGTTGAAATCAGTTGATGGATAAGTTTGTGTTTCATTTCATAGCAATTGTTAAGGGAGAAGTGTGAATCTGCCCAGGGTGAGGGAAAGAAAAGCCTCACTGTAAAGGTACTTGATTTTTTTTTTCTTGTCTCTGTACTCTTAGCAACTTCACAATAATGAGTCTGGGCATATTGCCATTTTAAATCTTTAACTTTGAGTTTAAACACTTGGTTTGAAATTGCTCTGCCTATTTATTTGTAATAAGAGAGATGAACTGCAGTGCTATCTTACTGAGAAGTCATGCAATTCTTTATTTCTTGTGGGGAGAGGTAAGGTTCTTTTCAGTTTTATAAGAACTAAACAATCCGTGTGCCCTTGGGTTGTTGTTTCAGATATATTTTCTTATCTAAACATAGACATAGAATGACTACAGCTGGGCAAAAAGGCTTTGAGAGCGGGAATGACTTTTGACTTCCTGCTGGCATTCCCATTGAATTTTCTTGTGGGAAGCTGGCAGGGCACAGAGATGGAAGCAACATCCCTCTCTCGTGCTCTCCCTTCCTCATTGTTCTTATGTCCCTCCTACCCCCCCTCCTTCTCTCCCTTTCCTATCCTTCACTTTCCTTGTGGGTAGCTTGCAGTAAGAGAGTCAATGGGGAAGTCTTGGAAGTTGCAAGTCCAACACTAGCAGGCAGGTAAGAAGATGTGCAAGAAGTACCACATAGGTCGGGGAAGAGCACAGGGCTGGGAGTGTGGGGATTTCTTCCTCCCTGTTCCTTTCCTTCCCAGCATACAGGTAAGTAAGTAGCTGCTGCTAGGTGAGGAAGGGTATGAGGCATTGCGAGAATGGCTGGGAAACTGTCGTGAAACATAAAATGAGCATCAAATGATTGCAGCAGAAGCACAGCAGAGCTGAAGCAGCAGCAGTTACTGAAGCAGCCACAACTTTCTCACATTTCATTCCCTCAGGAGTCATGAGTCCTGAATTTTGAACATATTTTGTAAGTTAGCCCATTTAAGGTACTTTGGTTCAAAAATTGTTGCCCTATGATGCACCGTTTTGTCCATTTAAAGTTCTAGGAACAAGAGTTTTGATAGTTTATAGATGTTATTCTTTGTTATTTTAATTTATCATCACATTTTTTCTGCATATGTAATACGCTATTTGAATATTGAGTTCCTATGAAGGTTCTACATCTGTAAACAGTATTAGAAAATATGATAAATATTTAAATACAGTGAAGTTCATTACTAGATATTTGTGAAATGATACAGGTTATATAATAAATTGCTATTGGGAAAACATTGATAAGTGAGCCAAAATAAAATTAATAAAGTTAATGTAAAAAGAGCTTCAAGAACCTAAAAACCAAATTAATTTTAGCATATTTAAAATGTTTTAAGGAGAGATATTTCTTATTTACAGGAGACTCATTTAGTGGAATAGGATAAACCTCTATTAATGAAGTATAGAATGAATATAACAATCTAGAAATATTGTGTGGTAGAAATTTACTTACAAATACTTCAATGATAGCTAAATATGTGGCAATTTTGTTTCAAAAAGAATTGCCAATTGATGTGCAACAAATTCTTACTGGTATCAGGAAGCAGGAATTGTAATAGCTATGCTTAATATTTATGGACCTAATTTAAATTCTCCTATTATGTTCTGTCAATGTTTTCAATACTTGAATGAATGCATTTATGATAAAGTGGTAATAGGAGAGATCTTAAAGACATTGGAGCCTGACCTGGATAATAATATATCTCTGTGGGGGGAAAAATCATTAATGAGAGAAACAATTAAATTTTCTGTTGGATTATATTGTACTTATTTATCTTACACATTTTGTTGGATGGAAAAAGCTTGAGACCAACTTGAACACCATAGCTGAAATCTAAATACTTTGCGGCATTTCTCCCTTGACAAGTTAAACTCCAAATAACAGTTTATTAAATAAATCATGGTGATCAGGTTCACAGGTAAATATAGGCTTGGTAATTACTGTAAGCCAAAAGCAGAAAAATGCCAATATCAGTAGTGTTAGATGCAAACCAAGCATATAAGTCTGAAGTTCATTAGTACTATTTTTTGCACTGTACATGTAAGAATACTTGTGCTTTTCACGAGACTTTCTTTTCTTCTGTTAAATTGTATCCGATTCTCAGAGACTGAAATTTTCTTGGCAGAAGTATTTGTCACTGCCTCCTTCCTAGGGCTGCAAGAAACTGATTAGCCCAAGGTCACTTGGCTGGCTTTGTGTCCAATGCAGAACTAGAACTCACAGTCATCCAGTTTCATGCCTGATACTTTCACCATTACACCAAACTGGTTCTCATTCATAAGATTTATTCTGTGGTAAGTATACACAGGACTGTATTCTTATTCTTATATAGTGGTCTCAGACTAATAGGGTACTAACACTACAGAAGCTAAATTATCAAATTATTTTATATCATATTCACATCATGCCACATATTATTTAGGGGCTAAAGGAGAAGCATCTGTTTTTGAACATATTTGTTGTCATATTGCCTGAGATCTAAATAAAAATAAAATTTTATGTTCAAAATAGCTTGCCTATAGCATACGTTTTAATGAATGATTGCCTAAACATACAATTAGATAGGCAGATTGTATGAGATAAAATGCTGAATAAATATAATAATATATGAGAACAGAACATACTTAATATAATTTAAAACCACTATATTTTTTTAAATGTGCATTGTAAGCTCTTCTCCCAAAAAACAATTTTGGAAATAAAAAAATTTCCCTGTTAAACTGACTAGGGGTCGACTTTTTAAAAAAGAAGAAGCAAAGAAGGAACAAATAAAGCAAATAACATAAAAGAACAATATGTTTTTTATTAAGTTAATTGGCATTAACTTTTTCTTCTTCCATGTGCTCACTAGTTTATTTTCCAACCCTGAAATCTTTGGGATGACATGGAAAAATTAGGTCACTTGGCTCAAGAACTATTGTTCAAGACAAAACTGTTAGCTGAGTTTTAAATGCACATTTATTGTCCAGTTGGCTGGGAAAGCAAAAACAGATTTCAAAGTCAGATCCAAGAGTGATAAATATTAAGCATATATATGGGCTTATTACAGTAAGTTCAGCTATACAGTCACATGGTATACAGTCACAGCTTGATCTGCAGCAAAGTAACCATTCTTTATATGCAAATTTATTGATTTACATAACTCATTGTACTACAGGAAATCCTCAGCTTACAACCACAACTCAGCCCAAAATTTCTATGCTAAGCAAGAGTGAGTTTTGACCCATTTTACAATCTTTTTTGCCACAGTTGTTAAGCGAATCACTGCAGTTGTTAAGTGAATCATGCAGTTGTTAAACAAATACGGCTCCTCCTTAGTCTTTGCTTGTAGCTGGGAGGGTTACAAATGGTGATCACATGACCCTGGGACAATGCAGCTGTCATAAATACATGCCAGTTGCCAAGCATCCAAGTTTTGATCATGTAACTGTTGGAATGCTACAACAGTCGTAAGTGTGAAAACCAGTCGTAAGTCACTTTTTTCAGCACCCTTGTAATTTCAAATTAGTCACTCAACGAATGGCTTTAAGTTGAGGAATACCTGTACGTGACAATGAGGACATATTATTTTCACTGTGTTGTGAAATCTAAAAATTGTAAGATTGTCTTCAGATGTCAGCAGCCCAGCACGTAGTCCTAGTCAGCCCCTTCCATCTTCTGTTTTGTTTTAAAAGTGCTAGAAAGTGCTAATGCTATTCTGTTTTTGTTTAAGTGGGAATGGTCCAGTAGTGATATAGAAACAAACTGCCTGCACACTAGTTACTTAGAGGGATGCAGTATTTACAGAAATGTAAATCTTTAACAACAGTGCTAGTTGAACATTACACAATGGGGAAGAAAAAATACTCCAGTTTTATTACATAATCCCTGAGTTCTGGACAGGATCCAGACTCAAACTAGGCTTATTGAGATAATTAGGAATTGGACAAGTCACTTATTTCAATAAACTGCTCTGGACAACTCAAAAATTGTGTGGCGGGAAGCCTAAGTATTTAAAAATGCAAAAATAAAGAGAGGAAAGTATGTTACTGGTGCAAAACATTTCAAAACATTTCATCTCAAAATAGCATCTGCAGAATTAAAGTTTTCCTTTTTTAGTTATGAGTCTGATCTCTGTTGCACATATCCTTTTATTGCTGTCTCTTAAGAACATAAACAATTTCCTTAGAGAATAGCATTGCATTATGTAATCCTTTCATTGCTGTCCATCAAATTTATAGGGTGAAGAAAAAAAAATTCTCTTCATTAAAGGCTATGAATGAAAATGTTTGCAGTGTTCTTAAAGGGGATCCAAGTATATCTAAAAATAAGTGGTTTTTTTTTTTATTCTGCATTATAGGAATATTCTCATTAATATCTTGCCTGACATCTTTTCCATTCAGGCCGAAGGGTACCATTGCCTATACAATTTTAGAACAGCACTGACACGTAACAAACTATATCTAGAAAAATAGTTTGAATCTTGACTACAGATGCATTAGTGTAGTTTTTAATGGTATTTGCTTTATCCTGTTGACAGCCCCTTGGCTCCTTTTCATATTGTTACCTGGTATATATAGATCCATGTGTAAAGATAAAGAAATTAGTTTCATTCTACAGAAGTAGGCCCATAGGAAAACAATTTTGAAATTGTTTCTTCCTTTGATCCCAAGTTGTAATTGCTGACAGTCTAATATAAGAGACTGCTTGAACAAATTAGGGCAATGAAATACTTAAGAGCTGCTGATTATATGGAATGCTGAAAACAACTCTCCTTGCAATACTTGTTTTCTTAAATATAGTC